CATGTGGGAAAGATGTAAAGTATTCATCTTTACTATAGATCAAAACCTGCCTTTCTACCAGTTGAAGTATAGAGAAGTATAGATTCTGAATCCATCAAAGAGGTGTTGCCAGGCATTTGTATTTATGCCAAGCATTTTGAAGGAAAGTTCCAAATAATGGAAGAGATAACATTAAGGCCAATTTGCCTAAGTCTTGCTAAAACAAACTCCTGGGGTAAAAACTAATTTCTGGGTAAGAAAATGAAATCACCTTTATAGCGTTCTGAATATTTTCATGTTTCCTAAATTTTCTTTAGCCAGCAGTCAGGAGGTTAAACGCAGAATAAGTCCATTTGATTGAAATCTTTCCCTTTTGGCCAGTGGAACTTAAGGTGGATATTTGATGTAAACTGAGTCCCTTCTGCATAACTGGACTTTGGGTGATTTCTCACAGAATGTCCCAGGGCTTATGGGCACCAGGGTGAATCAGAGGAAGTCTGAGGCACTTATTGGAAAGGTGGCAGCAATGTGGACTGCAAGTATTTCAAGGACATCTGAGATCCATTTGCTAGTAGTAATGTTCTTCAGACTTTAAGGAAATTGCCTGTGTCTGTGGATTAGCACATTTCCGTTTAAAGCAAAAACGAGGAAACTGATTTTCCTATGTTCCTTTAGCATCAGAGCAATCTCTGATCCAAAAAGCAGCATTGGAACAGCTACTTCCCACTTTGGAGACTGACAAGTTGTTTATTATTATAACTGTTACACACATACTTTCCAACCATGTGTACATATACATTTACATATATATATATATCCTGAAAAATAAAAAGTTGCTTTTGAACAAAAATAATAACTTAGTAATTTTCCACAGACTCTTATTGCTGAAAATAACCTTAGCTACATGATCCAAGGTTCTACTTTTACAGATGTGAATTATAACTGTTACACACATACTTTCCAACCATGTGTACATATACATTTACATATATATATATATATATATATCCTGAAAAATAAAAAGTTGCTTTTGAACAAAAATAATAACTTAGTAATTTTCCACAGACTCTTATTGCTGAAAATAACTTTAGCTACATGATCCAAGGTTCTACTTTTACAGATGTGAATCGCAGAGTTGTTACCTCTCTTCTGGGGCCTTGCAGCCAGATGGCTCGAACCTGAGAGGTGGCCGTGGTCCCTGTCTCTAGCAGTATTTCCATATACCATGGATGAATGAATCTAATTCTGGAGTGTAGCTCCTGCATGAAGTAGTATGTAGAGCAGGAAGGGACCCCCAGGGGACACCCAGGCCATTCTTCAGTCACATCTATGCTGAACCACGGTTAGATTTGTTTAGCCACACAAGACTCTACCTAAGTCATTCTATGATTTTCCTTAGGAGTGACAACATTGATGAAAGGCGTGAAGAAGCAATGCTCTGTTGCACTGCTTTTCTTCCTGTCTGCATGAATAGAGTATCCTTAGAGAACAAAGAATGTGTAAAAAGCCAGCCGAAAATATGGCCCTCGTGATGCAGGATCTTTTAATTAGATTTAAAAAGACTGAAAACGAGGGTGCCTTGTGAATACTGAGAAGGCAGCATTCTCTTTTTATTCTCTCCCTCTTTACCACCCTTAAATGAAGGGGATTGAAGCTCGGTGCTCTTGTTTTCCTGCTCAGCAGGGCTACATTTTTCTTTCCCTCCTGTGTATAGCTTGGGGATTATTATTTCTTACTTGGTGATGTTATTTCTCATGTTTGTTAATTCTCTTCTGCTGAACATTTTAAAAAATATTGATTTTGATGCTCTTTCAAAAGAGGGAATTGCTGTCACCACATTTTAAATTTCTTGTGTATAGGTCCATCTTGGTGTCTGCTATTGTGCCCCAAACAAAGTTGAGTAAACAGTTTATGTTGAATAAATAAAGGAGGTCTTTGTGTTGATGTCTGTACAATTCTGAGTATGTCTGGTCACCACTTAATTTACTACTTTATTTCTGGTGCTGCCGTATTATCATAATTTAGGGGGCATCTACTAATACCCCCTAAAATAAAGAAAAACTCATTTCGTAGGAGGTTTCTGCATCAATAAGACCTAACATAATATATAGAAATATGTGTCTTAATCCTGAGATGCATTATTATTAATGATACTCACATTACATCCCACCTTTTTAATCTTATAAATGCCCCTTTGTAAGTTGGAGAAAATATTTACCCAAATCCCAATAGTTAGATTCTTCATATAGGTTTTGTTTTCATTACATAAATTATTTAATCAGCTTGAAACTATCACTGTGCTAAGTACCCAAGGTCAAGAGTTTTGGGTGTGAAGGAAGGTGCAAGAAATTTGGGAGGAGATTTCTCTTAAAACCTGCATAAGCTGGTAGTCCTATGGAGGAAGGAGGTGGGCAAAGGAGGAGATCCAGATGCTGAAGGGGTAACAGTGGTGTGGGGAGGAATACTAAAAGTCACTGGAACTTGAGTGTAGAGATTAGCCTGGATAGCAGTCTGGGGTGATATTTAGAAATTTATCTTTGTCTGACAAGCATGTGGACATCCTTCCATATTTAAGGAATTCCCCATCCCTATGTTTTAAGGAATCCCCTTACAGGAGCTAAAAAAACTAGACATTTGCTTTTTAGAGCTAGGTCATGGGGGCCCCATCTGGATGCCACCAACCAAGTAGACTTGCCCAGACACTGAAGCAGAAACTAGTGAAGGTGGACCAAGCTGAGCCCATCCTAGTGAGGAGTAGTGGAAGTAGTGGCAGGTACATTCAGGGCCCAGGAGCAGCATTTCTGGCAGTAGTTCTTGGTGTCCTTTGTGCGGATGATGGAGTTGAAAGCCATGAGCTCTGTGCTTCATTGTGTTAGAAACGTTATCTCCAGTGGATTAGTTCTCCCCATGACTGTGGTTGATGATTGTAATAGGTATCTGTTGCTGCATAGCAAATTACCCCCAAATTTCACAGCTTAAAAAAAACCCAAATATTTATAATTCCACAGTCTGTGTAGATCAGGAACCTGGATATAGCTTAGCTGAGTCTTCTGCTCAAGGTCTCACGAGGCTGTCATGAAAGTGTCAGCTGAGGCTGCAGTCATCTCAAGGCTGGACTGGGGGAGGCTCTGCTTCCAAGATCACTTCAGTGGTTGTGACTGGCATGTTCCAGTTTCTTGCAGACTATTGGTTAGAGGCCTCTCTCAGTTCCTTGCCATTGGGTCTTTACAGAGCAGAGCCTACAACTCCAGAGTAAGAGAGTGAGAGTGAGCAAGAGAGTGAGAGAGAGAGCTCCAAGAAAGGAAAGTTGTGAGGGAAGCAAGCAAGAAAGAAGGCACAGTCTTTATAACTGAATTGCAGGGTGTCATCCTGTGACTTCTGCTGTATTCTGTCCATTAGGAGCGGGTCACTAGGTCCAGCTCACACTCAAGGGGAGGAGATGACAGAAGGCCATAAATATCATGAGGCAGGAGAGGAGGCTCCTACCTCAGCAGTTGTGGCCACTTCGCGTTGGAGCCTGATCGTCCCACCTTCTAAGAGATTCTGCGAGCAATTCAGTATCCTATTAATATTCCTTCATGCTTGCAAATAAGAAGCCTTACTGATACAGATAGTTAGCTGCCCTGGAAGCCCTTATCAGGCCCCCGGGCCTTCCCCTCTGCTGCCCTTTTTAATTTTCTTTAACTTTTTCTGAATATAAATTGGAAAATGTAGAGAAGAAGAAAATAACTATCACCCATAATAATGTTACTCAGAGATAACTACTCTTAACAATGACCATATTTCTTTCCAGGCTTTTTTCATTTATTTTTATACATCCCTAAGATCATATTATGTATATAAGAGGATACCTTAAAAGTTCATGGAAAAATAGGATTACAAGATAATACAAATCTTTCCATGAACGTTTTGAAGTAGCCTCACAATTCTATAACTTGAGCATCTTACCATTTTATTATAAGAATTTTCCCTTGTCAAAAAGCCCCTGATTTCTTTCTTTTTCTTCTTCTTTTTTTAAAAAATTTAATTTTACTTCTCAAAATACATTGTACTTGATTATCATGCCCCTTTACCCATTCCTCTCTACCCCCTACCCTCCCCCCTAACACCGAAAAAGCCCCTGATTTCTAAAGTGTGTTGGTGAGTGAGTTAAGAGTGGCCTGATCCTGTAGGAAGAGCTCTAGCTGGACAAGGGTCTCTTGCACTGTCTGAGAGAGGGGGGGCTTGCTAATTGCAAGTGGGTGCAGCAAGTGCGTGTTAAGGACACGTTTAACCTGCCCAGGAGAACAAGCTCCCTAGGAGAGGGGCTTTAGCAGTTGTTGTCTTAATCCCTTCTGGCTGCTATAACAAAACACCTTAGACTGGGTGATTTATAAACAGAAATTTGCTGCTCACAGATCTATAGTCTGGGAAGTTCAAGATCAAGGCACTGGCAGAGGTGGTGTCTGGTGAAGGTTCCTTCCTCCCAGGTCCTTCCTGCTGTGCATTCTCACATGACAAAGGGGCAAAGGAGCTTGGTGGAGCCCTCATGACTTAATCACTTCCCAAAGGCCTCACCTCTTAGTACTGTCACATTGGGTATTAGGTTTCAATATGTGGATTTTGGGGACACCAACATTCAGAGCTATCCATAATGGGATGGGGTGATGCTTATTACAATGAATCATGTCTTCTTGAAATGAAGCCTGGTCTGATTTAAAAATTATATACATATATAGTCTTCCTAATTAGTTATATTTAATTACAAGTAATAAGACTTCTTTTTCTTGAAAGTCCCTTCTCCCCTTATTTTTCCCCTAATTCACACTGCCTTCTAGTCGGTCTGAAGTAATGATTGGCCAAAAGATGCCACATTTTTTTTTTCATTTTTCACTTTTTAAAATAATTTTTAATTGTGGTAAAATACGTATGACATAAAATCTACCTACCATCTTGTTAAATACATTCACATTGTTGTATAGCAAATCTCCAGAACTCTTTCCATCTTGCAGAACTAAAACTCTGTACCCATTCAGTAACAACTCCATATCCCCCCTCCCCCAGCCTTTGGCCACCACCATCCCCCTTTTGTCTCTATGATCTGATACCTCGTAAGTGGAATCATACAGTACTTGTCTTTTTGTTTCAGCTTATTTCATTTAGCATAATGCCTTTAAGTTTCGTTCATGTTGTAACATGTGCCAGAACTTCATTCTTTTTAATAGCTGAATAATATTCCATTGTATGTATATACCACATTTTGTTTATCCATTCATCCGTGGATGGACACTTGGGTTACCTCTACCTTTTGGCTAGTGGGAATTGATTTTCATTTTTAAATGGAATGTTTTGTTCCATTTCAGGGCAAGAAGTTGCCTTATCACCTTGGGGATGATGCAGATGAGGGGGAAGTTTCTGATGAGGACAGTGCAGATGAAATTGAAGACGACTGCAAGTTCAAGCTCCACTATGTAAGTGACAGGCCTGGCCATATTTTTACCCTCAATGTGCTACAGTAAAAGTGTGGTTCCAAATTGCTGCTGTGCTGGAGTCCCCACAAATATGGTGGCTGTAAGACTGCAAGTTCAAGCTCCACTATGTAAGTGACAGGCCTGGCCATATTTTTACCCTCAATGTACTACAGTAAAAGTGTGGTTCCAAATTGCTGCTGTGCTGGAGTCCCCACAAATATGGTGGCTGTAGTGTAAAATGGATATTTTTATTGAAAATTTCTTTGTGTGCTGGCACACAGACACTCAAATATTTGTGGAATGAATGAGTCAAGGATTCTTTTGTTTTGGAGTTAGAAGGAATGTTAGGGATTAATCCATCCCACCCTCTCCAAAGACAAATTCCCTCCTATTACAAATTGTAAAATCCAAGTGCAGTTGGAAATGTCACTGTCTTTGATGAAATAAACTGGCTTGAGCATCACCTCCCCTGCTCCTGCTAGCAACCCCACTGTGCTGTCAAGGTTGGCACTAACAATCCCAGCTGCACGTGGGTCTGCTTCTCTAGGATGCCTGTCCCCTCCCTAAGAAAATGTTCCTGGACCAAGCCCTTCCAGACATGGGACTCTTAGCTAAACCTTTAATTTGCCACATCTGAAATAAAGGGGCATAGAAGTCCATTGCCTGGCTGGTGCTTCAGACCCCTTTCCTAGATCAAGGAGCAGCCTTTGCTGAAAAGCACCATTTAGCTAGGTGATCTGAGGGAAATACAGTCATGCAGTGCTTAACAGCGGGGATATAGTCTGAGAAATGTGTCATTGGGCAGTTTCATCACTGTGCAGACATCATGGAGGGTATTCACACAAACCTAGATGGTGTAGCCTACTACACGCCTAGCTGCGTGGTGTAGCCTAGTGCTCCTAGGCCATACACCTGTACAGCAGGTTTCTGTACCAAGCACTGCAGGCAATTATAACACAAGGGTAAGTATTTGTGTATCCAAACATAGAAGAAGTACAGTAAAAATATGGTATAAAAGATGAAAAATGGTACCCCTGTATAGGGCACTTAGCATGAATGGAGCTTGCAGGACTGGAAGCTGCTCTGGTGAGTAATGAGCGGGTGGTGAGTGAGTGTGAAAGCCTAGGATGTTACTGCGCACGACTGAACTTTATAAACACTGTACACTGAGGCTATACTAAATTTATAAAAAATTTTTTCTTCAATAATAAATTAACCTTAGCTTACTGTTTTACTTTTTTACTTTACAAACTTTAAAACCTTTTAAAAAACTTTTTGACTCTTTTGTAGTAACACTTAGCTTAAAACATAAACACATTGTACAGCTGGACAAAAATATTTTCTTTTTTTATATCCTTATTCTATAAGTTTTTTCTATTAATTTTTTTTTTTTTTTACTTTTTAAACTTTTTTGTTAAAAACTAAGACAAAAACACACACATTAGCCTAGGCCTACACAGGATCTGGGTCATCAGTGTCCCTGCCTGTCACCTCCTGATGTTGTCCCAGTGGGAGGTCTTCAGGGGCAATAACACTCATGGAGCTGTTATCTCCTGTGCTAACAATATCATCTTCTGAAATATCTCCTGAAGGACTTGCATGAGGCTGTTTTACAGTAAACTTTTTTTTTTAATAAGTAGAAGGGGTACACTCTAAAATGATAAAAATTATAGTAAGTACATATATGAGTAACATTTATTGTCATTATGAAGTATTGTGTACTGAACATAATCATATGTGCTATACTTTAATATGACTGACAGCACAGAGGTTTCCACCAGCATCACCACAAACACATGAATAATGCGATGCACTGTTATGCCACTAGGCGGTAGGAGTTTTTTTTTAGCTCCATTATAATCTCATGGGACCACTGTCGTCTGTGTGGTCCCTTATTGATGGAAATATCATTATGAGGCACATGGCTGCCTAAAGCTTAAATAGAGGTGCCCCCTGCCTTCTGTAACTCGGATGATTGCCAGAATCATGAGACAACCTGATAGTAGTACACGCTTAGGATAGGTTATTATACGGTTTAGAATTTCATTTCTACAGAAAAGTGGTATTCCTCTGGACATCAGGACTATTACTCTGCCCTCTAGAAAAAACAGAGATATTTTGAACAAATTCTTCTAATTTACATCATTGCCCTGAATTCAATGATCACATTGTTAACAACAGTCTGCTCTTTCTAGATAATACTGTGATGTCTTGCCTTTAGGTATCAAAGGGAGCTGGCATGATTTTCAAAGGGGACAAGAGCTTAATGACGGCCAAAGTCTCAGTAGACACTTAAAAGGGTGAAGTGGAGAAGATGCAGCTTGGAGTGAAAAGGAAAAATTCCCTTCCGTACTAATCTCTTGCCTTTTAACAGTTTATATTACCTTAACTAACTACCCCTAAATAATAGGATTATGATTACAGAAAATTAATCAACAGATTTACATAACTGAAATGCAGTTAATATTTTAAATAGTTTTTTTTTTCTACATATTTGCCATTTTATAATTAATTATTTGTGGTTATGGGTAATTTAGCTTTTTTTAAAGCTTTTTTTTTTTTAATAAACCAAGTTTTTTTGTCTGATTTTCATTATTTTGCATCTTGTATTCCAGATCTCTTCATTGTCAGCCTCAGTGTACCCTATCATTTGAAAATAGAAAACAGACTTGACCAAGTCATGTGTTTAGGGAATGCTGTTTTTAGTGAAAATGAGTGGTAGAAATTTAACTTCTGTCACAGTGTAGTCATTTATTGCTCTGAGTTCCTAAACTTGCCCAGCTGGATCTTCCAACATCAGTGAGCCTTCCAACTTCCTAAGCTGAATATGTGTCGTTACAAAAGAGCTAGCTATGGTCTTATGGGAACAAATCAGTAATTTCACTTGAGAGGTATCCAACAGGATTCCTCTTATTTTCAAGCTTATTTCTAGGAACCTGTATAAGTACGTAATTTAGAACATGATTACCATGAAGTTAGACATGATCTTTCATTGGATTCTTTGATTTGACCCTGACTGAAAGTGGCGAACGTTATTTGTAAGATTCTTTGCTGTACTTTGGGAAAGAAAATACATAAAGAAATGAACAGTGTGGTAGAAATATGTGAAGTTTTTACTTCACTGTTTCAAACCTTTTTTTTTTTTTATATTTTAGAGCTCTTCTGAGAAAAGGCAATGCTGTGTTTAGAAAGCCAAGGCGTTATCTTATAATCAACCAATTTATAGTCCCATTGTCAGCAGAGGGCTCAAATGCCCTATCTGAGTGATGAATTTAAATAGCCTGACCTAAACTGAATGCCTGGTCATATTTCTGCAAAAAAGGGCATGTACTGTGCATTGTTTATGTGAAGCAATAATTACTTTAGAGGGAGCTCTTAACCTCAGTTTTAAGTTAACAGAATGTGGTTAGGTTTATAAGTTATATATAAATTATTGCCATAAATAAAGATTTAATTTAGCATTCATGGACATTGGAACACTAACTCTCATGAGGTTATATAAGATTCATGTATGTGTTCAACAAATTTGTATTGAGCATCTCCTGGTGGAGATGTTCCCATCACTGTTGCAGGTGTTGGGGGATATATCTGTAAACAAAACAGACAGAAATCCTTGCCTTTGTGGAGTTTCCATATTAATGAAAAAGGAGGAGGATAGACAAGAACAACACCAAGTACATAAAATAACTTGCATACTAGACAGTGCTAAGTGCTTCAGGGAAAAGGGGATGTGTATGCATGTGTCCAAATGCACATGTGCATACTTGTGCATGTGTGTATATGAGGGTCTACTGAGATTTTAGGTGGGGTGTCCAGGAAAGGCCTCACAGGGAAGACACATTTGAGCAAAGCCTGGACAGAAGTGAAGAATTAGCCATGCTGATACCTTGGGAAGAATGTTCCATGTGGTGGGAACCCCAAGTGCAAAGGTCAGAAGCAGGATTTGTGCTCGCTCAGCATTTCCCTGGCTTTAGAAGCAGAGCAGAACAAGACTCCTCCAGGAAGAATGTTCCATGTGGTGGGAACCCCAAGTGCAAAGGTCAGAAGCAGGATTTGTGCTCGCACAGCATTTCCCTGGCTTTAGAAGCAGAGCAGAACAAGACTCCTCCAATCTCCTGTTACTTCTAAGTAAGCTATTCAAAGCACACCGTACGTTTTTTGCTTATGTAATAAATACTCTCTGTTGTTGATTTAACTGAATCCTTTAAGCTTCTCCCTCATGTTATTTTTTGGCCTCAGCCATAGAAAAAATCTGGCTTATAATATATAAGCCACCAAGTAAAGTCAGTGTGTTCTGTGACCCAAGAATCATCCAGCTCAAAGACACAGGAGGCAATTTCCTTTCAACCACGGCACAACAATCTAACCGATCTGATTCAGTGAGGCCAGCTCACCATTATTCATCTTTATGGAGTCCTCTGATGTCAGTGTGTCTTACAGACTTTCTACTCTGTACTTCAACTTCACTGATTTTTTCCCTCTTCTGCGAGCTATTTGTATCTTTTTTCCTGAGGTGTCTGAACCTGTGTTTCACCAGCCTCTTTGGCACAAATATCAGCCCCCCATCTCCTACCTGAAGCTCATCTTATAAACACTGAGCCTTCCAGCAAGTTCTAAATGAGCCCTCTTCCAATAACATGTAGTAACTTATGTCTTATGCTACTGCTCTAAAACCATTACTCAGTCTGTGTATCTCTCACTAAACATTTTTATAGTTTTCTTCCATTCCTGCTACCTTAGCTGCAGGTTCATCTTTCCTAAGTTAGTCATTTTATTCTTTGAGGCATTTTAAGAAGGATCATGAGTCTTGTTGTTTTAAAACTTCTCAGCCTTCATAGGAGGGATGAGTTACCTCTTGAGGCTGTGAGGTCTTGCCACTGAAACTGTTTGCTGAGATGAAATGCCCACAGTCTGGGCACGCTGTTTCCTCCTGACAATGAGGGTTGGGGGATGGAGAAGGTGACCTGGAAGATCCCTGGAAGATTCCAGTTGTTTCTAGTACATGATACGACTGGTCCTTGAACAGAAGAACATGTTTTAAGTGACCTAAAGGAGCAGGCAGGAGACAGTAGAGGGAGGACAGGAGTGAACACACAGACTCGAATGGCTGAAAAGCAGCTATTCTTCAGCCCAAGACCTTCAGGTAACGAGCTCGGAAAGCTACAGGGCACTCACAGAGGGGAGCTAATGCAAGATCTCCTGTCTCCAGACTCGCCCAAGGGGGAGAAAAGACATTTGGGGATGTTGAGATATTTCAGTTTTTTGTTTTTGTTTTTTTAAAGCAAAAGTCCTCCTCAACTTTGGCTGCACACTGGAGTGATAGGGGTGCTTTGAAAAATTTCAATGCCTGGGTCCAAGCCCAGAAATTCTGATGAAATTGGTCGAGGTATGGCCTGGGACTTTTGAACATTCCCCTGGCGATTCCAGTGTGTAGTGGAGGTAGAGCATCACCGTTTGAAAGGGTCCTTCGTACGGAGCACACGCCTTCAACCTAACCCCACCCCTTTCTTGCCTCTTCTCAGTCTAGAATAATAGACGTGGTTTGGGCTGCCCTCTGCTTTTCCAATGATGCTTTAGTTTCATGCTGGATACAAAACAAGAATGTTTGTTTATTTGTGGCAGAGAGATTCCTAGATTCGACTTACCTTTCAGAAAAGGGAATCGGGGATCCTGATTACTTCTCTGGTGCAAGCTACTCCTGAGCATATTAAATGGCTGCATTCCTCTCACCCCTGGGTGCAGCATTCTTCCCCTCCCCTGGCCCAGGGGACATGTGGCTTTCAGCTGTGGTCCCTGCTGCAGCTGCATGGCTGGCGGCTGCTAGGCCTCGAGGTCCAGTGTCTGTCTCAGCTTTCCTTCATTGGTGCTATTAGATTCCACAACCCAGTGATACTACATTAATGAAACCTCAGCCATGCATTTATTTGTTTTGCATGGCTGGTAATTTTATTGTGCTGCAAATTACAGAGAAGAAAAAAATCGAGAGGCAGAGATATCATTCCTTCTGCAGCTCTCAGTGTTTAGAGGATGCGAAGTGAATAAGTATAGGCTTTGTATTAAGCATTCATTATTTCACAGCACTGGTCAGCCTGGCTTTGTACTGAGTCTTGCTTTGCTGATGGTGGAAGTGTCTTGGCATAATGGCCACATCTCCTTACTGCCTACCCCCAAGTGAGGGAAGGAAACGAATGCTCCTGTGGAGAATTCTGTGTGACACTGGGCACACTGGGAACTCTACATTCGTTCCCTTTTTTTCCTCCCAATCAATGTGCTCCCCACTAGGCTCTGGGTCACTTGATCAAATGTGTCGGAGGGTAGAGACCTGGAGTTCTTTCCTTGGATCAGCTTCTGACCTTAAGTGAAACCTACTCACTCTTTTCCACAGAGGGATTGCAGTGATGTGTTTTCCAGGTTCCACGAGAGGAAAAATGGTTGTTTAAAATATGAGCCTGCTCATGACTAATTTCACTCAAGAATGTATCTTTTTCTGCAATAATGTAAAAGGGATGGCTGCAGCATCGAATGGAAAAATAGACACAATTTTGAGTGGGAAGTCTTAGATTCGAGTTCCAGTTCAGCCATTTCACAGGCATGTGTGTTTGAACGGGTGCTGAATCTTTCTGCCTCTGTGTCATGAGTAACACTTGGCTAATCCTAGTGCTTACCTTAAACGTATGGGGTGGCTCACACAAAGTATCGTTACGTCACAGTGCTTCATGAGCCTTAGCACAACATACAGTCTCAGTTGCTTTTTCTGTATTTCCCCCATGGCTCTTTTTTCCACATTCATATGGTTGCCTAGTTCTTCTTGATACTGTTTTCTCTATGCTTTTGTTCACGTTGAAATGCTGCCCCGCCTTACGCTTTGCCAGATGATCTGCCCTCATTCGTTGGAATGGGTTGATTTGTGGCCACCAAAAGATAGGTGTCCCAACCCTGGTACATGTGAATGTGATCTTATTTGGAAAAAGGGTCTTTGTGGATATAATTAAGTAAATAATCTCAGGATAAAATAATCCTGGATTAACCAAGTGGTCACTAATCCAGTGACGAGTGTTCTCATAAGAAAAGGAGAAGACATGGATGGGATTGGGGGGACACACAGGAGAAGACCATCTGAAGGCAGAGGCAGGGATTGGAGTGATGCTGCCACAAGCCAAGGAATGCCTGGAGCTATCAAAAGCTGGAAGAGGCCAGGAAGGTCCCTCCTCTAGAGCCTCCAGAGGGAAGGCAGCCCTGTCAGCACCTTGATTTTATGCTTTTGGCCTCCAAACCTATAAGAAAATTAATTTCTGTTTTTTTAAGCTACCAAGTTTGCGGCAATTTGTCACAGCACAGTAAACTAATACACTCATCTTTTAAGGCTCGGCTCAGGAGTCCTCCGCTCCTGGAAGTCTCTCCCAAATTCCCAAGGCAGGGCAAGGTGCCCTCCTCTGTTTGCCCATGATACCTCCACACCTGTCACTCTACCTATACCTGCTTGTGTAATTATCCATCCATGTGCTGGTCTTCTCCATGACACTGAGGGTTCTGTGACAGTGGGGTTATTCCTTATTAATATTTCTTACCTGGCACAGAGCAGAAGCTCAGTATGCGTTTGTTTCATGCAAAATGAATTTTGCTCCCAAACTCTCTCTCATCTGTATTAAATCCCTCAGTACACTAGCTGAGGTGCTTAGTGCCCACAGTGGGGACCAAGGCACTTGGCTTTCCACCTGCAGACACCCTTCATCTTTCAGCACATGCTGCCAAATTAATATTCTCTTTAAAGTACTGTTCAGGCACTCGTCCACCCAGAGGCGCTGAGTGTCTCCTGCTTTCAAGTCCCTCCGCTCCTCAAGCTACTTTATCTGCCACTACCCTCTTCTGTGAACTCCCACTGTAGGAAAACTCATGTGTTCCTGGTGTTTATAGAACACGTGTTACTCATGTAAGTCCTTTGCTAGAGCTGTGGATGACAGGAAAGCTCCTCTCTTCATCACTGTGGAAATGTCAGGTACCGTGAGAGCCCCAGTCCAGTCTCACCTCTTCTTTGAGGCCTTCTTTGCCTCTCAGACAGGAATTCCATGTTCCTTCTCAGAACCCCTGTTGTCCTGGTCATCTGTGCTTTTGTAGGCATCTGTGCAGACCAGGGCAGGATATTTGGGAACACACCTTTGCTGGTGTGATGGGGTGTTCGCTTCTGGTATCAAATGCCAACTTATTTCCATCTTTGCATCTCCTTCAGGACCTGAGGGTTTCCAGTGAAGTTAACTGGGTATATTAAAGATGTTAATGCATGAGATATTGTTCAGGGGTATTCAATAACCTTTTTATTTTTTAAATTTTTGTAGGGCATTTATATTGCTTTGCTCTTATAGGATTTTGTAAAAATGAAAGCTACCCATTCTGCAGGGTTCAAATATAATGACACTTAGTAATAAATTTGCAAGTAGAAAAATAGCCTTAAACTTTTGGTGGAGAATGTAGGGATTATTCTTGTGGAGGAGTACCCTTTCCTCACCTTTGGGTGGGCTGGGCTTTGGCACGTGGTTGAAGAACTTAGGGAGAGGTGAAGGCAGCTGAAGAGCAGAGGAGAGTGAACAGAGACTGGCCCACTGGTTTGGGGCAGAGTGAGGTGGCCCCAAAGCTGTGCTAAGTAAGACTTGAAGAAAATTTGTGTTCATTAGTCACCCACAAGTTGCATGACTCATCATCTGAACATGGGCCTACCTCTGCTATCCAAAACACTTGAAATTAGTTGTGGATGGGCCGGCCCGGTGGCGCACTGCTACAGTGTGCCACTTGGGAAGCACGGCGGCGCTCCCGCCGAGGGTTCGGATCCCATATACAGACCGGCTGCTCACTGGCTGAGCGAGGTGTGGGAGCAACACCGTGGGTTGCGATCCCGTTGCCGGTCCCGGTCCGGTACGGGCGCGACACTGAGGGTTGCGATCCGTTGCCGGTCACGAAAAAAGACAAAAAGGAAAAAAAAAAAAGAAATTAGTTGTGGTCTTCAAGTAATCATACAAAACTTGGCACAGGTAAATACTGACTTCTCTCTAGTTACACAGTGGGGTGGGAGATAGGAAAGAAATTTTATCTGAGAATTATCCTTACCCTTGGAAATATCCATATCATTCTTTTTCCCTCAATGAAGAAAGTGACTTTTTAAAAAATAGCTTATTTTGGGCCGGCCCGGTGGCGCACTGCTACAGTGTGCCGCTTGGGAGTGCAGCGGCGCTCCTGCCGAGGGTTCAGATCCCACGTACAGACCGGCCGCTCACTGGCTGAGCGAGGTGCGGGCGCAACACCGAGGGTTGCGATCCCGTTGCTGGTCCTGGTCTGGTATGGGCGCGACACTGAGGGTTGCGATCCGTTGCTGGTCACAAAAAAAGACAAAAAGGAAAAAAAAATAGCTTATTTTAGCTCAAATTTACCTACGTAGGTTTACAGAACTTAGTCTCCAGGCCTGGCTGGTTAGCAGACTTGGTTAGAGCGCGGTGCTGATAACCTCAAGCTTGAGGGTTTGGATCCCTGTACTGGCCAGCTGCTAAAAAAAAAGGAAAGAAAACTTAGTGTACAAAAACTTTCCCTGGCCTGCCTTCTATTGAAAGCATAAAGTAGCACGGTGGGGAGGGCTTTGGAGCCCTGAGTTTGAATATTGCCTCAGCTACTTGCTGGCTTTGTAACCTTGATTAACTTAATTTCTGTAAGCGTCAGATTCTATGTCACTGAAATGAAAATGATAATAAGGTTCTTTAGGGTTGAGTGAAGTCACATGAAGCGTAGCTGGCAGAGAGTGAATTCATAATAAATAGTAATCATTATTATTATTATAGGGTTTGGGGGAGGGGCAAAATGATACAATGAACTTAATTTCTTATAGATAATTGAGAGATAATAAAATTATAGAAGTAATGTGGCTTGATCAAAGGGCGTGTTCTAATGGAATCTGTGTTTCTTAAGGAAAATCATTTACATTACTTAATTCCTTGCAGAATAATGGGACCACTGAGCATCAGGTGGAATCCTTCATAAGGAAAAAGCTGGAGTCACTGTTAAAAGAATCTCAAATTCGAGATAAAGAAGATCCTGATAGTTTCACAGTGAGGGCACTACTGAAGGCCACGCATGAAGGCTTAAATGCACACCTGAAGCAGGTATACAATTCCGCCTTATGCTTGTTCGGACAGGAAAAAGAGAGCCCCTCATACTCTGTTTCTAATCATTTCTCATTTGTGAAATGTTTCTTCCACTTCATTTCTATCTTCATATTGCTTGGGAAATAAAAATCTGTTGCAAAATGACATGAGAAGTAGTTAAAGGTGGATGGGTGGGGGGTAGAAGTGGCTCTAATGCTGCTTCACTGGGAAGCATCTCCCCAGTGCACACCCAGGGGAGGGGAGGGGTTCCAGCCCCCCAAGTGCTTCACCCTCCCTCCTCCCCACACAGCCTGCATGCCCCAGTGGTGGCATCTCCGAAATGTGTCTCCCATCTGTCCACTTCCCTTCTTTCTGGCTGTGGCCTAGTCTAGACCAATCCCAACTCTCACCTACACTTCTCTTGCCCAAATTTAATCTCCACTCTAAAATCAGCACAAGTGTAAAAAAAATCTGATCACGTCACTTCACTTTTTAAATTTCTTCGGTGGCTTCGAATTATACTTGGGATAAATAGCAAAGTCTTTAACCAGTCTCTCAAGGACATTGCATTCTTGTCTGTCTCTCAGTCTCCGATCTCCCCAGTTTCCATGTTCCACCATCTCCTACATTGTTACTTCAGCCACAAACGTCTTTATATGCCACGGCCTTCCTCACATTCTGTTCCCTCTGCATAGAACACTCCATTCTTACATCTGCTCCAGCTAACCCCTACCTAGTTTTTTAAAATTCTAGCTTTGCCTCAATATGATGTCCTGAATGAGTCCCACCTTGACCCCTGCCTGGAATAGGTTAGCTATCTGCTTTATATTGTCTGTGTTAACCTTTCCCTCTGCATAGAACACTCCATTCTTACATCTGCTCCAGCTAACCCCTACCTAGTTTTTTTAAATTCTAGCTTTGCCTCAATATGATGTCCTGAATGAGTCCCACCTTGACCCCTGCCTGGAATAGGTTAGCTATCTGCTTTATATTGTCTGTGGTAACCTGTTACATCTTCTTTTGTGAAGTTTTTTTTGGTTTTGTGGTTTTTTTTTTTTTTTAACACATTTGCAATGATTTGTTCAGTGTCTGTCTTCACAACTAGTCTGTAGATTCCATGAAGACAGGAACCATATTAGTCTTGAAAACCATTATTCTTCTGGATTATACAGTGCCTGGGATTTAGTAAGACCTTTATAAATAGTTGTTGAATGAATGCATGAATGAACGGTTTGGGCTCTCATTGAGTTTTTTACTCTGCTTCCTAACAAAAATATCATAGATTGGAAAGGAAAGGGGATAGTGGGTCTTTTGATGTTACCATTGTAGGGTGATGAGGGTTTATTCTGGCCCAGAAGAGATCCACGTGGTCTCAGCATGGCAGCCTTCCCTGCCACTGCCACCTGTCTTCTAGGGCTCAGGGATCCAGGCAAAGGGAAGATCATATGGGGGTGGCTGCCCTCGGATCCAAAGTGACCATTTAACGTTGGTGATTGCCTCTAGACCCTACAAAAGTTTAGCCATTCAACTGGTAGTCTGTTTCTAGAGTCTATTTAGTTTCCAGACATGGAAAACCTAATTTAAAATGGCTTAAATAATGAAGAAAGCTGTTGGGCTAGGTAAGTGGCAAGTTCATTTGCAGGCTGTGCTTCAGTGTGGGCTTAATCCAGAGGCTCAGTGGTGTCGTCAGAGACCTAGTTTTCTGCTGTGCCTCCTACACTATTAGTATCATCCCAAGTGTGGTTCATCTTTCTTTGGTGGTTGCAGGGTGACTGCCAACAGGCCCATGAGGTACATGTTTCTTGGTTCATCTCTAGAGAGACTGAGACAGTGTATGTGCCCCAAACAGCAAACCAGAGTTTATGCCTAGCTCTGACTGGGCAGTTTAGCTCTGTGTCCACCCTATGCTTGTCACTGTGGCTGGGTAAGTAAGTGTCCTTCCTGAAACAGTGGTTTGGCAAGGGTATAAGATAACATTGGCTTACTAATGCCAATGAGAACTTGTCCCTGGAACTGGTGCCAATGTCAGTTCCTCTCAAACTGCATGTTAGAGGGGCAGCTGGAATAGTTTGGCATCAACCAAAAGGTTGATTACAGCATTACTGCCCTTACAGTTTATCATATAATTTTGGATTCTCTTTAAAATTTCTATAATAGTAATAATCTAATCCTCCTCCTCACCAACTACTTATTTCCAACCACACATAGCCTGTGAAATCACATTCGGTTCGCCCAGCTTGATTTCTGCCTTTTGTCCTCAGTGAACTCTCACTGGCTACTCTGGGCCAGTCATTTCCCCTCGTGTGTTTGGAGAAGTCTTCGCCCCATCTTAGATCATTCCAACTGGAAAGGCAACCACAGGTCTTGAATATTTTGGAAGAAATAAATTAAGCTCATCTTTCTTTTGCTGTTCATTAAAGAGATCCTAATGATAATTTCCCCAGTGGGTAAAATGGTCAGGAAACCTCACATTGCAGAGATGTAGTGGAGCAAAACTCATCGCCCCGTTTCTTATTTTTCACTTTCTCTAAAATCTGAGTCACTGAAATAAGGCATTAGGGTAAAATAAATGGAGCCTATGATTTTAATAAACTGGGCTGTTAAGTATTGGGGTTTTAACACTGCTATGTTAATTTTTAAAATATGGTTTTGGTTCAGTGGGCAAGTAAAGGCAAGTTACTGTTGAGACAAGTACATCTGTGCCAGATACGTACAGATATTTAAATCCAACGCCGAGAATGTGCGATGTGTCCAGGGCAGCACGCCACTCCAGCTGCTTCTTTCCTGGACCGTCACACAGCAATGCAGAACCGTGTTCCACTTGTGCTGGCTTTTTCCTGGAAAGCCCTAAAGAAAAATGAAAATGAAACTCTCTTTCAAGCTGGAAGAATTTAATAGACACAAGAGAGATTTTCTTAAGAGTTCTTGAATCTGCTCCTTTCTTTACATCTGAGCTGCTGTGGCCTGGATAAGTGCACTGAGTCCCTGAATGAGCTTTTCCAGCTCTCAGCTGCTGCCCTGCCCTTCTGACCCCTCATTCACACCACCCCCAGTAGTGATAGTCCACAAATGTGCCTCTGGTCATGTCATTCTCCTCTCATCACCCATTCAAATGTTCCTTCATAGTTCGGAGGATAAAGTTCACATTCAGAGACGTAGCCCATAGACTTTCTTTTCTTTTTCTTTTTTTTTCTGACTGGCAAGGGGATCGCAACCTTCGGCTTGGTGTCGTCTACACCACGCTCAGCCAGCGAGTGCACCAGTCATCCCTATATAGGATCCGAACCTGAGGTCTCAGCGCAACCAGCGCCGCACTCTGCCGAGTGAGCCACGGGGCTGGCGCACCCATAGACTTTCTCTGGTGTTCTGGACACAAGCTGTGACTCATCTACCCGGTGCATGTGTGTGTAAGCACACACATACACACACCTGCTTTCTTCCTTTACTGGAAGGTACCCTGCTCTTACACTTGGCCTTTGCATCTGCTGTTTCCTTGGCACAACACACTTCCTCTTCCCCGTTTCACATAGATAACATCTACTCAACTTTAGGCTTCAGCTTTTGTGTTATGTCCCTTGGAAGTCCTCCTTAATCCTCAAATCCAGGTGATGGCCTCCCCGTGCCACCCCACAGTGCCCTTAGCTCTCCTCATTCTCATCTTATTACAGTGTATCATGATTGCTCATCTCTGCCTTTAGATTGCAAGCCCAGCAGGGACAGTCTGCATCTCTCTTGTTTGCTATAGCCCTTATATACGTGCCAAGTTCCTAGGACAGTGTCTTTCCCATGAATTCAGTGGAAGAGATGGGGCTGATGCTCAGGCTGAGGTCGAAGATGGAGATAGATATTTGCAGATATCCATCTCCTATATAAAGAGGGAGTATGGGGTGGAAGAAGTTGGGGACAAGGAGGAAGCCAAAAAGGAGACTTGGAGCTAGACAGAATTCCTGTTCCATCCCCAACCAGCTTTGTAACTTTGGACATATTATCTAACTTTACTACACACACACACACACACATACACACACACATAATTTTTTTTTGGTGGCTGTCTGGTATGAGGATCTGAACCTGTCACCTTGGTGTTACAAGGCTGTGTTCTAACCAATAACTTCACTATATTTCAGTTTTTCTTCTATGTCAAATTTGGATTTTAATTATACTTATCTCCAGGGATGGTTGTATTTATTAAATGAGAATACATGTAATGAATGTGCTTAGCATTTTCCTTGGGGTATAGTAGGTGCCTACTAAGTAGGGTGACCATATACCTCAGTTTGCCTGGGATAGCCTTGCTTTATACCTGTTGTTCTGGCATAATTATTTCTATTTTATTTTATTTTTTGTGACTAGCTGGTATGGGGATCTGAACCCATGACCTTAGTGTTACGAGGCTTTGCTCTAACCAACTGAACCAACTGAGCCAACTGGCCAGCCCTTGGCATGATTATTAAAACTGCCTCATTTTATTCTCAAATTGGTCCTGTTTTGGAAAAAAAATGACATGGTCCCCCCACCTTTCAATGGGCTGTTAGAAATAGAAAGGGATTCACAGATTAAATATAGTCCATTTCACAGATAAGAAAACTGAAACCAAGAGCAGGGACCTGCCAAAGGACATGTAACTACTTGGTGGCAGAACTGGGTCTCTTAACTTGGAGAGCAGTGTTACTTCTGTGACCATATCTCCCTAGCTTCTTAATTCCATAGTTTTTGAATAATTCATGATCAGCATTAATAGATCTTCAAAGGCCATGAACAATACAAACCAGTCCACAGTTAATGAACATCATCCTGTTCACCCTCACCCCTACCCCTCCAGCAACTTCTGGGCTGCTCTTCAATCAATTTTTGGACACTTCCCCCCTTTTCCCTCCCCTCCCTGAACTGTATCTTTGATTAGTGTCTGTGGACATGTGCAGATGCCCTTTCCAACCTTTTGATTTTAAGTGGTTTTGCTCACCCACATTTATTCCATTTGTGTGGTCATCTCATTTCCTCTCTGTTTGGCTGGAGTCCCAGGTGGGTGGAGCCTGCTGGTCCCTTCATACCATGTCGTTAGCAGTGAACCACCTAACGTGTTTTTAGGGATAACAATTGATTGAGAGTCTAACCCCTATTATTAGGTTTCAGTCCCCTAATGA